TCCGGCAAAAGTCCTTAAGGATCGGCGTTCACCACGCCAACGCGGTCGTATGGGGACCAGTGTATAGAACGCACCGCGTGTTCACCTCCGCGATGGCCATCGTGGCGTCGCGTTCGCTCGTCGCGCGCATGTGCATCGTCGCGCGCGCGTTTTGCATGGCGGGGTCGTCCGCGTCGTCGTTCGGTGTCGGAAAAAGCCCTTGTCCGACGGTATCCGCCGCCGGCGCGGCGGCGGCGGCGGCGGCGGCGGACGTCGTCGCCTTCACGCCGGAGGCGACCGTCGGCGCCTCCGCCGCCGCCGCCGTCGCCTTGGCCTCCGCCGACGGATCCACCCACCCTTTCGGCCGTCCCACCTTCATATTCCGCCCGCACAGCTCGATGCCGTCCAGGTGCTGCGCCGCGTCGCTCAGCGCGATCGTGCGGAGCTCCACGAACGCGAACTTGTTATCCGGGGACATGTTCACCCCGAGCACCGCGGGGCCCTCCGGCGAGAGCGACGCCAACGCGTTGTTGAACACCTCCGAGAGCATCTGACGAGGGTCGTCGGGGTGGATTGAAAGGGGGCGCGTCAGTCGGAGTTGAAAGGCGTCGATGCGCGTCGGGATGGGTTGAAACCGAGGGGTGGGCGAAGAGATGCGCCGGGCAAAGTCCTTAAGGATCGGCGTTCACCACGCGGACGCGGTCGTATGGGGACCAGTGTATAGAACGCGCCTCCGTGTTGACGATGTTCATCGCGAGGTTCCCCACGTACACCTCCCTCGTCTTCCTCTCCTGCATCTTCTCGTTCAAAGAGTGCCCACCGTTCGCCTGTGACTGCACCCACTGCTGCGCGAGCGCGAGCTGCTGTCGCATGTGCGCGGCGGCGGCGGCGTTGCGCGCGTCTTCCTCCGCCGCCGTCGCCGCGGCGACGACGTCGAACGCGGTCTTCTTCTTCTTCTTCTTTCCTCCTCTCTTCTTCTCGCCGCGAGAGCGGCGCTTGCGCTTGCGGCGGCGCCCGGAGCTGGACGACGAATACGAGGAGGAGGAGGACGAAGAGGAGTACGACGACGACGACGACGACGACGACGACGACGATGATGAGTACGACCGTCGTCGTTTCTTCTTCCGGCCGCCGCCTCGCCGTCGGTGATGGTGTTTCCGTCTGCTCCGTCCTCGCCGGCTCCGGCTCCTGCTCCTGCTCTCGCTCCTGCTTCGGCTCCGGCTCTTCCTCCGCCGCTTCTCCTTCTCCTTCTCCTTCTCCTTCTCCTTCTCCTTCGCGTCGCCGGTCTTCGACGACGGATCGCCGCCGTCGGTTCGCTCGGCGTCGGCATCCTTCTTCGCCTCTCTCGACGCCATCGCGTTCGCGCGCAGCCGCTTCTCCTTCTCGAGCGCGTCCTCCTGCGGCGGCTGCGGCGGCGGCGGCGACATCGTCGCGGCGCGGCGGTCGCGGCTCCGGTCGCGGCCGCGTCGCCGCGGGGGAGATCGAGATCTCATCCTCGCGCGATTCCGATCGACGTCGCGCGCGTCGTCGTCGCGTCGCCGCCGCGACTCGTCGCGGCCGCGATCGCCGCCGCGGCCGCCGCGGTCGTCGCCGCGGCCTCTCCCGTCGCGGCGATCGTCCCTCCGCGGCGGCGGCGGCGGCCCGCGCGAGTCCTCCCTCATCGCGCGTCCACCCCCGTGCCGAGCGCTGTGATGACGCGCGCGACGACGCGATTCGAGTTCGCTTCACTCCTTTCGTCAGCGCGTCCTGTCGTCAACGCCGCGCCGTCAGAGCCCCACGCACCGCACGCGCACGCACATGGCCGCCACGCTCCTCGCCCCCCGCGCGCTCGCGCCCGCGCCCGCGCCGTCGCCGCGCCGCGCCCGCGCCGCCTCGACGAAGCGCGCCGCGTCGCGTCCGCGTCTCGCCCCCCCCCCACTCCGCGCGGTCGACCCCGAGACGGGCGAGTGGGTGTCCGTGCGAGACACGATAGAGGAGAAGATCGTCGCCGCGCTCGCGCCGACGTACGTCCTCGTCCGCGACGACAGCGAGAAGCACGCGCTGCACAAGGGCGGGCAACACGACGGCCACGCCGGCGTGCGGAGCAAGGAGTCGCACTTCAACGTGACGGTCGTGAGCGAGCAGTTCGAAGGGATGACGCCGGTGACGCGGCATCGCACGATCAACGCGATCCTGAAGGAAGAGTTCGACGCGGGGTTGCACGCGCTGCAGCTCTCGACGAAGACTCCGGCGGAGTACGAAAAGTCCAAGTGAGGAGAGGTCGCGGCGGCGGAGACGACGACGACGCGGACTGTAGGATATCATAAGCACGTAGCAGAGGGGGCGAGGGTGAGGACGAAGAAGGTTTAAGAAGAAGAAATCCGTCATCGTCATCAGTCGTGACCCCCCATCGTCCCCGCTCGTCGAGTCGTGAGCTATCTAGCGTAGCTATCTACCATCGCCCTCCCGCGATCATCGTAATCGTACCGCGAATAATAATTCGTTCGTTCGAACCCTCCCACCCACCCCCCCACCCCCCTCAAGGCGCGCGCGCGGACGCGTCCACGTCGATCGTCGCGCCGTGCAGCGCGACGCGGCGCACGTCCAGATTTTCGTCGTCGTGCAGGTCCTCCCAATCGTGCATCAGGTTCTCGCATCTGATCAACTTCACGCAGACGCACCGCGCCCATCGCGGGAGTTTCAGCCGCACGGACATGACGTCCCTCGTGGGCGAGAGGTCGTTGCGGGAGGGTCCGTCGTCGGCGGCGGCGGCGGCGGCGTCGACGCCCGCTCGTTTCGCGTAAAACTTGAACCAAAGCGCCGGCGTAAACGCGCGACTCCCCGGCGGCGTCTTCACGCGCGCAAACTCGTACGCGACGCCGCCTTCCAAGCCGTGAACGGCGACGATCTTCGGCAAGCCGCGGCCGGCGTCGTCGTCGTCGCCGTCGACCAGGTCGAACACTTTCTCTCTCGCGTCGACGTCGTCGAACGCGGCGGGGCCTCCGGTCGCGTCCGGTCCCCGCGTCGACGCGACGCACCAACGCTCCACCTCCTCGGCGTCGTCGCACGCGCCCGGCCCGGGACCGAAGAAGACGACGCCGCTCGCGACCGGGCACGTGAACTGCCCCTCTCTGGAGATGTCCACGCGCGTGACGATCGCGTCGACGCATCGCGACGCGCGCGTCGCGGCTCGCCGCTCCTCCGGGAAAAATTGGATCGGGTGTTCCCACGGCGCGCGGGTCTCTTCGCTCGCGCTCGCGCGTCCGAACGCGGCCATCGCGCCCTCGGTCGCGAGCAAGCGCAACGGCTCGCCGCCGTGCGCTCGGCCGCCGGGGCACTCGGTCAGAGACGCGGCGCGGTTCGAGATGAACGACGCGCGCTCGCGTTCGAGCCGGGCCTCGAGGGTTCGCTCTTCGACGAGATGTTCCGGGCGCGGCGGCGGCGGCGGCGACGTCGCGTCGGCGGCGTATCGCCGCGCCCTCTCGATCTCCCGCCTGAGGTCCCTCTGCCCGGCGTCGCCCGTCCTCTCGGCGTCGACGCCGTCGGCGGCGTTCTGCGACGACGTCGGGATCGCTTCCTCGACGGACGCTTCCTTCACGCGTTGCGCGAGCGACTTCAAGTTGTTATGTCGTTGTGTCGAGCGTGACAACACGAAGTCGTCTTCCACGCCGTCCACGCCGTCGAACAGCAGCGCCGCGACCGGGTCCCCGTCCTGCGCCGCCTGCAGACGCGCGACGAAGAACTCCAGCAGCCGCGAGTCCGGCCACCGCCCAAAGTCGAAGACCTCCCTGGAGGTCTTGCAGTGCCTCAACACCTCCTGGAACGACCGAGGGACGAATGTTTCGTCCGAATGCGCGCGGATGCGGTCCTCCTCGAACGCGGTCAGCATCAGCGCGTTGAGGTTACACCGGCGCGTCATGTACGCGCGTCGTTCGAGCCGGTACTCGTCGTAACCGTACGCCTCGTTGCGTTCGCCCGCGACGACGCAGCCGATGACGGAGACGTTCGAGGACGCCGCGCTGCAGTAGAAGCGGTCGTGCGCGTCGACGTCGAACACGTTTCGGAACCACTGCTCCTCCGTGCACTCGTCGACGCCGCCGTCGCAGTAGATGCCGTTGACGCGCAGGCAGCCGGTGTCTTTGAGACGCGTGCGCGAAGGACGGATTCGATCGGAGATCGCGTCGTAGAGGCGACGCCACCGGCGCCCGTCGTCGTCCGCCTCCTCCGTCGGCGCGACGAAACCGAAGTCGCGAAAGAGCGCGTCCCTCCAAAAGCGAGTTCCCGCGTCTCGCATGGTCGTGGAGCACTGCATCGCGCTCCTGACATCCCCGGCGGCGAGTCCGCCGAGGACCGCGTCGAGACACTCCCTGGGGAGTTCCTCCAGCAGCGATGCCGGAGGTGCCGTCGCCATCGCGCCGCCGCGCCCCCGAGGACTGAGCGACGGACGCGAGATTCGCGCGGCATTTGACCGGACGAAGCCGTGATCCGCGAGGCGCGCCGCGGCGGGAAACTGCAAGCTGTCATGCGCGAACTCGAAACGTTTTTCGTTCACTCGTCGTCGACTCGACGCGTACTACGCGCTCGCGCGCTCGCGCTACGTCGCTCTACTCCCCCCCCTCCTCCATCGGCGTCGGCGAACCGTCCGGGCACGCCGCCGCGCCGCGCCGCCTCTTCGGGCTCGGCCCCTCCCTCTCGCGCGTCGTCCCGGGCGTCGACCCGGGTTTCCACGGCTTCCGCCGCAACGCGTTGGCGTAGACTTTCAACACACGGACCAGCACGCGCGGCGCGGGCAACGCCTTCGTCGTCGGGCGCTTCTTCGGCGCGTTCAGACGCGGCGCGGCGGTGGGCGTCGTCTTTTCGGCGCGCTCGGCGTCGCCGTCGGCGTCCATCGCGACCGCGTCGTCGCCGCCGCCGCCGCCATCGCCGCCGTCGTCCTTCCCCAGGTCGCGGAACGGCAGGTCCGGGTCCTCGCGCGCGGCGTCCCAGTCGCTCAGACCGTACTTCAGCGCGGCGGCGACCAACCCGATGTCGTGCACGCCGGTCGTCCACCACACCGGGATGTCCCCGGTTCGAACCGGCGGCAGTCGAAGCGACGCGAGGTTCCCGCCGACGGCGTCACACGCGTTTCTGAGCGTCTGCATCAGATTGAGGCGGTCGTTGAGACGCGACGCGTTCGTCGCCGTGAGGACGCGCCCTTTCTTCGACTTGTGCAGGTCGAGGATCTTCTCGAGCTCTTCTTTCGCTTGAAGAGTGTCGTCGTGGTGCGTCGCGCCGCCGCCCTGGGCGGGGGTGCTCGCGCCGGTGCCGCCGCCGGTGCCGCCGTCGGTGTCGTCGTCGTTGTCGTCGTCGTCGTCGCCGAATTCGTCGTCGTCGTCGTCTCCTTGCGACGTCGCGACGCTCCCCGGGGTCGTCGGCTCGGCGTCTTGGCTTCCGCCGCCGCCGCCGCCCTCGGCGCCGTCATCGCCGCCGCCGCCGCCGCCCTCGGCTTCTTTCCGGCGTCGCATCTTACACACGATGCAGCCGCAATTCTCCTTGTGAATCTTCCCGGGCAGACGCTTCTTGAGGTTCAGAATCCCCTTCGTCGCCGACGCGAGCGCGTCCATCTCCGTCGCGATCTCGTTGAACGCCGCCGCGACGTCCGCTTCCGTGTGTCCTCGAAGCCCGGACAGCTCCAATATCCGCGCCCAGTCCGCGCCTCCGCCGCGGACGCGACACAGCCCGTGCGACATCAACGTCTTCACGAGCTCCTGCTTCTCCTTCTTCTTCAGCGGACGCGGTCTCTTCGCGCCGCCGCCGACGTCCATCGCGTCGTCGTCGTCGTCGTCGTCTCCGGCGGCGGCGGGCGACGGCGACGGCCGCGTCGTCGTTCTCTCGGAATCGTCCGCGACGACGGCCCAGTCCCCTCGGTCCATCGCCTCGGCGACCTGCGCGTTCCGCGCCGATCGCCGCTTCGCGCGCGCGCGTTTCCGCTCGCGCCGCTCCGCGCGGCGCTTCGCCTTCTCGCGCGCGTCGTCGTCCTCGCCGCCGCCGAACGCGTGCAAGGGAAGGTTCCGGTCCCTCGGCGCTCTCTTGCGTTTCCTTCCGAGATACGCGGCGACCCACGGCGGATCCGACGGCGCGAGGACGTCGCGCGCGCCGAGGCCCTTCGCGAGCTGCTTCACGCGGTGCGTCAGAACCTCCGCGAGCGGCCAGCTGTTCGGCGTGACGTTCGCTCGCTTGATGTCCTTGTGCGTCTTCTTGTTGGCTATCCTCTGGAGGCGCGCGGCTTCGCGCGCGGCTTCGCGGTCGGCTTTAGCTTCCTCTTTCGATTTCGATTTCGTGCCGTCGCCGCGCGGGGTGTTGACCGCCGCGGACTCGTCGTTATCAGTCTCCTCGTTCTCTTCGTTCCCGTCGTCGTCCTCGTCCTCGTCCTCGTCCTCTTCTTCGTGCACCTCCTCCTCCTCCTCTTCTTCCTCCTGGTCTTCGTCTTCGTCGTCGTCTTCGTCGTCGTCGTCGTCGTCGTCGTCGTCGTCCGCCTTCTCCGCCGCCGTCGTCGTCTTCGTCGCGTCGCGCTTCGCCCGCCGCCTCTTGCAGACGAAACACTCGCAGTCCTCCGCGTGTGCGATCGTCGGGTCCTTGCCGCCGTGCATGCCCTTCATCTTGGACGCGATCGCCGCGGCGCGCGCGTCGATGCGCTCGCAGCTCTTCGTCAGCTCCTCGAGCGCGGCGTCGCCGCCGCTCTCTCTCGCCGCGTGCGCGAACGCCGCGAAGCACTCCGGGTCGGCGCGAATCGCCTCCCACGCCCCGAACCCGTGCGTCGCGATCCCGTGCAGGAGGTACAGATCGCACGTCGCGTTCCAAAACGCCGGAAGCTTATCGCCTCGCGGGAAGTCTCTCGAGTCCAACAGCGCGAGCGCGTCGTCTTGCGTCTCCTCCGCGACCGCGCGCTCCGCGGCGCGGTTGACGCCGTCGAGAAGCTCCAACCGTCGCGCCCACGACCGCGCGAGGGTCTTAACCTTGCTCCACGGGCCCACGAGCTCGTCCGGGCCGTCGTCGTCTTCCCGGCTTCCTCCCGGCTTCTCCGGCGCGCCCCTCAGCCGCGTCGACACGTACGTCGACTCCTTACCGCCGGGTTTCAGGTTTGCGCGAAGCGCGCGAAGCAGGTCCCAGCACGTCGCCGCGACGTCGTTCGTCGGGTGCTTCGCGCGCGACGTCTTCTTGAGCGCGTCGCGGATTTTCTCCCACCGTCCGAGGCCGTGGAACAGCAGCCCGCGTCGCAGGCGTTCCTTCTCGTGGTTCGACCACGGCGTCCGCGGCGGTTTCGGCGCGTCGTACTCGTCGTCGTACTCGCCGTCCTCGCCGTCCTCGCCGCGTCGCGACCAGAGCCGTCTGGGCGCCGCGCGCGCGGCGGCGCGGAGTATCACCGGCGGCTCGCACTCCCACTCCTTCTGCAGACGCGCGAGGTCGACGAGTTTCGCGTCGAGCTCTCTCGCGTAGCGCTCTGTCGTCGGACGCGCGAGGGAGGTCGGGTGGGAGGAACGCGCGTGAGCGGACGGGCGAGGCGGTGCGTCGGGGAAGGGAAGAGGAAGAAGAGAGCGAGCGATCGAGCGATCGACCGGATCGATCGGATCGATCGGATGGATCGATCGCTTCAGTTCGAACGTCGCGCCGAGCGGAAAGTCGGCACGCGCGGCGCGGCGCGCCGATCGCCGCCGCCGCCGCGCGCGCGCGCGCGTCGCCGTGGACGGGGACGCGCGAGAGACGCCGCCGGCGCGTGATGCTCCCGCCCGCGTCGATCGCGGCTCGCGAGATCGCGCCTCAGATCTGCGAGCGTACGAAAAACGCGGGGGCCGCGCCGCGGCGAGCGACGGACGCGCGAGACTCGACGGCGATCGAGGCGGGAGGAGGCGCACCGAGAAGAGGGCCGAGGATCGGATGCCGCGCGGTGGTCGCCATCGCGCGCGCGCCCGCGCCGCCGCCGCCGCCGCGCGCGGTCGTCCGATCGAGCGTCGCCGACGTCCGCGCGCGTGTCCCGCCGCGCGCGGTGTGCCGCGACGCCTCGCGAGAGGCGTAACCCTAAAACGAAGGAAGCGAACGCGCGCTGACGCGCGACGTCGGTCGCGGCGACGAAACTTCCGCGCGCCGAGCAGAGGAAGACGCAGACGCCACGCGAGCGCGAGCGCTTGCCGAGGAAAGACGCGCGGACGGGTGAAACGCTCAAAACGCCGATCGACGATGTCGGTTTCAACCGATGAAATATGTTCCTTTCAAACCTATGAAACGACGACGCGCTCGCTCCCAAATGAATCAGTCAAGCCTCCAACCCCGCGCCGCGCCCCGCCCTTCTATCTCTTCTCTCCGCTCTCGCGTCACCTCCACTGCAACCCCTCGACGACCTCCAGGGTGTTACAGTCCGGGTCGCGAAAGAATATCGCCGGCCGGCCGCTCCTGGACGCGGTGTACGGCACCCCCTCGCGTTCCAGCGTCTCGATCAGCGGCGCGAGATGTCTCAGGGTCGTTCGATACAAAGCGAACGTCGCGGGGTGGAGTTCAAAGGCGTCAGATGGAGTTCAAAGGCATCGAGGGCGGGGATTGAAAGCGAGGGGTGATGGGCGGAGAGACACGCCGGGAAAAGTCCTTAAGGATCGGCGTTGACCACGCCAACGGGGTCGTATGGGGACCAGTGTATAGAACGCACCTCACGCCTATACAAAAATGCCGGTCCTTCCCTCCGTGGACGGGGCGAAACTCCGCGTCCGTGGGGTCCGGGTTCGGGAGCTCCATGAGGTGGACCATCTCCGGGCCGATCATGAGCCACGCGCCGTCGTACGGCAGCTTATCGTGCGGGCGGTCCGGGTTCACGGCGAGCCCGAGCATTTTCTCGTAGAACGCCATGGAACGCTCGAGGTTCTCCACGATGACCGCGACGTGATGCACGCCCATGATCCCTATGCGCTCGGACAACGGCGCGGAGGAGGAGGATGGGGAGGAGGGGGCGAGGCCCGTGGAGACGAGCGATGACCCGTGCACGAAGGACTCGTCCACGATCCCGGAGTGCGCGGGGTCCGCCGCGCCGCGCGCGACGGCGAGACGACGACGACGTCCGAGGAGGACGACGGCGCGGCGCTCGGAGGAGGAGGAGGAGGAGGAGGAGGAGGAGGAGGAGGACGACGACGACGGCGTCGCGCCGCGGACGGCGACGACGGCGACGGAAGACGCGGCGGCGAGCGAGGCCATGACCGTTCGGAGCGAGAGCGGACGGGTCGACGCGTGCGGTCGCGCGCCGCGGCGTTGTGCGCGGCGCGCTCCGAGAAAACATGGGGATGACGACGACGATTTGTTAGGGCACGGGCATGGGCACCGTCAGCATCGCATCGCGTGCATCGCTCCCTCACTTCCGCGCGCGGCGGACGCATGTCCTCGGCGCTCGCGGCGTCGCGGCTCGTCCCGCCGTTCGCGCGCCGGCTCCTCGTCCTCCCCAACGCGCGTCCTCCCCGCGTCGTCGCCGCGTCCTCCGCGTCGTCGTCCTCGTCGCGCGCGGGCGTCGTCGCGATGATTTCGGCGTCGTCGAGAGCGACCTCGGCGGACGCGTCGCCGACCGAAACGGAAACGCGCTCGGGGAGCTGCTTCTGCGGCGCGATCGTCGTCGCGCTGACCGGGACCCCCGCCGCGGTGTCGATATGCCACTGCGTGAACTGCCGGAAGCTCTCCGGCGCGCCGTTCACCGCGCAGGCGCTCGCGAAGGCGACGGCGGTGGAGGTGCGGTCGGCGCGCGACGCGGAGATGGATCAGATGGTTTTCTCGCCCGGCGGCGACGCGGACGCGTACCTCACCGCGTTCAGCTCGTCCGCCGCGGTGGACCGGTACCGGTGCAAGGAGTGCGGCTCGCCCGTGTACGCGAGCTTAGCGAAGGGGAAGATGGCGGCGGTGCCGTTGTCGATGTTGGACGGCGGCGGCGGCGACGGCGGCGGCGGCGGCGGCGACGGCGGCGGCGGCGGCGGCGAGGCGGCGGCGGCGGCGAAATCGAACGCCGAATCGCTGAGGCCCACGCATCACATGTACTACGCGGACAGGATCGTGGACGTCCCGGACGACCTTCCGAAGTACGTCAAGAGCGCGGCGAGAGACGCGAAGATGTGGACGGGGGTGGAAGACGACTCGCGATGAGCGCGCGACTAGAGAGTTATTAGGCATCGGCGAGTGCCGCGTTAAGATTTCTACTCGGCACTCAACACATCAAACAGATCTCGAAAATCCATCGAAGCGCAACGATCAGAACGCGCGGCGCACGCCGGCGGGTCGCGATGGCGATCTACCAGGAGCACGCCGGCGACTACGACTCCGACGACACGGACGCGGACGACGACGTCCTCCTCGGGGTCGTCGTCGGCGGCGCGTCGCCGCGTTCCGCGGCGTGGACGGACGCCCCCTCGCCCGCGTCCGCGCCCGCGCCGTCGTCGTCGAGGCGCGCCGCGCGCGGCGGATCTTCCCCTTCCCCCTCCGCGCCCGCGGGATCGAGCGCCTTGTATCCCGCGCGGGGATCCCCCGGCGGCGGGTACGCCACCGCGTGGTCGCCGCCGATTCGCGGCGGCGGGGGACCCGGGGGATCGCCGTCGCCGGCGCCGGCGCGAAAGAAGACGTCGCCGTTCGGACGCAACCCCGCGGTCATCCGCGCCCCGACCGGGGACACGAGCAGCGACGACGACGACGCCGACGACGACGACGACGACGACGACGACGACGACGGCGAGGACGAGGACCGCGCGCGGCGCGGTGAGAAGACCGCGGCCGCGACCGACGGCAAGGCGGCGCGACGCGCGATGGAATCCCTCGGCTTGTCGTCGGCGGCGCCAGCTGTACCGCCGCCGCCGGCGCTTGGCGCCGGCGGCCTCGTCGCCGTCAGCCGCGCGCGCGCCGTCTCGCATCAGCGCGCGGTCGCGCGCCGCGAAGCCGCGCGCCACGCCGCGCGCCGACGCAAAGAGTCCCTCGAGCTCGAGCTTCAGCTCGCGATGCAGGCGGAAGAGGAAGAGCGCGCCGCCGTGCTCGCGGCGGTGGAGGCGCGTTTTGTCATCTCGCGCCGGTTCCCGTACGACCGCGTCCGCGCGGTGCACGCCGTTCCTTGAGGACTATTCTTCCCGAAAGAAAGGCGTTTCTCTCCGCCCACTACCCCTCGCTTTCGATACCGACACACCGCGACGCCTTTCGACTGGTGCCACCTGACGCGCCCGCCTTTGAACTCCACCACCCCGACCCCGTCAGGACATCGAGGAAACGCTCGCGGCGCGCGACGCGGCGGCGGCGGCGGCGGCGGCGATCGAAACCCAGAGAGAGATCGACGAGATGGACGCGCGGTGGCGCCAGAGGGACGCCGCGGTGCGGGTGGTCCTCGCCGCGGACGCCGCGGAGGCGGAGCGGCAGCGCGCGGCCGCGGAGGCGGAGGAGAAGGCGCGGAAAGCCGCGGAGGAGGCGAAGCGGCGCGCGGAGGAGGAGGAGAAAAAGAAAGCGGAAGCCGCGGCCAAGGCCAAGTCGGACGCGGAGAAGGCGGCCGCGGCGACCGCCGCGGAAGAGAAGCGACGGATGGAGGAAGAAAAGAAAGCGGCGGAGGCTGCGGCGACGGCGCCCGGCGCGCCGCCGCGCCCCGGCGTCGTCCCGCGCGTGCAAACCTCCGCGGAGGCGTCGGCGCGCGAGGGCGAATTCGCGGCGGAGCTCGCGCGAGCCAGGACGTCCGTCGCGGAGTACAGCACGAGCGCGTCGACGAAGCGCGAGCGACGCGCGCTGAACGCGCAGATCACCGTGCACGTGCAGCAGATCGCGGCGACGAAGACGCAGATCGAGAAGAAGGCGATCGACGTCGCGACAATGCTGTCGAACGTCCGACAGGAGCCGCAGCGCACGTTCGCGCTCGTGTCGCTCGCGAAGCGAATCTTAACGCAGTGCGACTCTCAGGTGCGTTCTATACACTGGTTCCCATACGACCGCGTTGGCGTGGTGAACGCCGATCCTTAATACGGACTTTGCCTGGCGTTTCTCTCCTCCCACCCCTCGCTTTCAATCCCCGCCCTCGGCGCCTTTCAACTCCACCTGACGCCTATGAACTCCACCCCGCGACGTTCGCTTTGTATGGAACGACTCTCAGGTGTCCAAGCTGAACCGGTTCGCGTTCGCGCTCGCGGAGGTGGCGGTTCGCATCGCGGTCTTCGAACCGCGGTTCAACGTGATCCTCCTCGCGCTGCTTCACGAGTCGTGCGTCCTCGCGGTGCCGAAGTATTACCCCTTCGTCGTCGGGCGATACGCGTCGGACGACGAATACTTTCGACTCATGGGCTACGTCGACGCGGAGGACCAAGGCGAGCGGAGAGAGGGCGACCCGCCGAAGCTGGAGACGACGGACGCGTTCGGACAGAGACTGCGCGGGTTCATGCTGTTCTACGCGGCGTACACGCAGGTGGAGCACGCGACGCATCCGCACGGGATGGAAGCCGCGTGGTCGTGGATCTCGCGGCTGCTGAACCGGATCCCGCCGAACCGGCACTCAGGCGCGTTCTATACACTGGTCCCCATACGACCGCGTTCGCGTGGTGAACGCCGATCCTTAAGGACTTTTCCCGGCGCATCTCTCCGCCCATCCCTCGCTTTCAATCCCCGCCCGCGACACCTTTCAACTCCAACTAACGCCTTTCAACTCGACCCCGACATTCGCTTGTATGGAACGACCCTCAGCGACGGCGTTGGAGAGTTTCCTGAAGCACGCCGGGTATCGCATGTACGCGACGTACGGCTCGCAGTTTGGCAAGATCTTGGACGTCGTCGACCAGAGTTTCCTGCCGGAGTTGGAGGCGAAGAGCGGGGACGACCCGGACGTCCGGCCCGTGGCGTCGAGGACGCGGACGTACCTCAACGAGCGGACGTTTTTGAAGCCGCCGGAGGGGAGGGAGATGCCGAACACGGACACGTCGCAGAACACGATCCCGCGATGAACGAGACGAACGCGCGCACTGAACCGCGCCACTATCATACAGTACTGCGGGGGCATGCCTTACCTACGAGACTAGCTAGCTATCTTATACTAGAATGAATGCCTATCTACCTACGGCGCGACGCGGCCGCCGCCGCGGTACCGAAACGATTCCAACGCCGTCGCCGTCTTCGCTCTCGGCGACGGCGGCGCGTTCTCGTCGAGTACCACGACCTCTTCTTCTTCTTCGTCGTCGTCGTCGTCGCCGGCGGCGGCGGCGGCGTCTTCTCCGTCCGCGACGTCCATCGCCTCGTCCGCGGCCTCCTCCTCCGCCGTCCCGTCGACGCACCGCGGACAGCGCCACTCCTCCTCCTCCGCCGGCAACGCCGTCAGCGGCGGGGACAGACACGCGATGTGAAACCCGCGGTCGCATCCGTCGCACAGCAGCATGGTGTCCTCGTCGTCGCCGCCGGCGCACACCTCGCAGAACGTCTCGTCTAACGCCGCCATCAGCGCGGCGATCGTCGCGTCGTCGTCGTCGTCGTCGCCGTCGCCTCGCGCGCCGCTCGGCGATCTCGCCTCGACCGCGAACGACGACCGTCCGTCGCGTCGATGGACGACGTCGAACGACGCCTTGCACAGCGGGCAGCGGTTCGCGACCGCGCTCCAGCGCGTGATGCAGTCCTCGCAGAAGACGTGGCTCGCGCGCGCGTTGGGGGCGCAGCCGCCGAGCGTGCACGGCGAGCGCGCGGCGTCGAGGCAGATTGCGCACGTGATCACCTCGTCGTCGTGATCGTCGTCGTCTTCCTCCTCAGTCGCCGCGTCCTCGCGCGCCCTGTCGCGGCGTCGCCGCGCGCGGACCTCCCGCAGGAGCGCACGGACGTCGTCCTCGAGCGACGACGACGACGCGCGAGTCGCGCCGCGGAAGAACCGCGACGACGTCGGCGGCATCCGCGCCGGGAGCGTTTGAAACGCGCATCGCACCTGTCGATTTTTCGGGCTGTCAGTGGCTGCACAAAAGTGGTACGGCCGGAAACTACTCGTACTCCTAACTTAATGTACATACGAAGGAACGGAAGACGTCTGTGATTGGCCGCGGGAGTCATCCAGCGGCCGAAGTTGCTCCGGTTTTCCCGCGAGCGCGCGCTGAGAGAGAGAAGGTATCTGGGACGAGGCTCGCGCGATAGCGCGAGGGATCGACGACCGCGCCGCTCGCGGAGGCACTCGCACTCGCGCGGGACGCCGGGATGGCGCACGCGGAGATGGCGACCGCGGCGATGTCCTTCGCCGCGGCGGCGCCGAGGACGCGACGCACGCGACCGACGGCCGCGACGGCGGCGTCCACGAGCGACGCGCCGCGCGAGAGGATGATATTCCCTTCGAGAGAACGCTCACGAGCCGCCCGAGAGGGGCACGCCGCGCGACGCGCGACGACGACGCGCGCGGCGACGCCCCTCGCGTCCACCTCGAGCACGTCGCGGTGGCGCCCGCGCCCGGCGCGGCGGCACCGCGCGGCGCGTCGCCTCGCCCCAGTCTCCGCGACGCCGCCGAGCGAAGAAGACGCCGGGGGCGCGGCGGCGAAGAGAAGCGACGCGGACGAGGAGGACCACTTCTCGCTGCAGCGCGCGGAGCTCGAGCGTCTCGCGCCGCTGCGCGCCGCGCTCCTCGCCGCGGGGAACGACCTCGCGAAGAAGCGCGCGGTCATCGACGCGGACGCGCGCGTCGCCGCGTTCATCGCGGACGACGCCAACGACGCGATCGCGCGCGTCCTCTCGAACATCGACTCAGGCGCGTCCTCCTTAATTAAACTGGTCCCCGTACGACCGCGTCGGCGTGGTGAACGCCATTCCTTAAGGACTTTGCCCGCCGCATCTCTCCGCCCAGGGTCCCTCGCTTTCAATCCCGACACACCTCGACGCCTTTCAACCCCACCTGACGCCTTTCAACTCCATCCCGACCCGACCCTCAGAGGACGCCTACCTCGTCAAGTGCGTCGTCGCCGCGGGGCAGGAGCGCGTCCTCGCGCCGCCGTCGTCCGACCCCGTGCAGATCGCGAACGCGCTCCGGCCGCTGGTGAAGACGCTGCGCGATTTGGAGACCTTCTATGACGTGTTGGGCGGCGTGATCGGGTACCAGTTCGCGGCGCTGGAGCTGATCCACGAGCAGTTTGGGGGGCCGCCGCCGAGCGTGCTGGAGGCATCAGGCGCCGGAGAGAAGAAACTACTTATAGAAGAAGAACGCCGACCGACGTCGTCGACGTCGACCGGATCTGCGGCGCTCGAGACGCGCGCGAGGGCGTGCCTGAACGAGACGCTTCACGTCCCGGTCGGCCCGGATCTGCGCGACGGCGGCGGCGAGTTCGCCGCGAGAGCCGCGGCGTGGGGACTGGAGGAGCTGCCGAAGATGGCGGAGGTGTACCCGCTCGGCGGCGCCGGCGACCGCCTCGGTCTCTGCGACCCGGTCACCGGGGAGGCGCGTCCCATACACTGGTCCCCATACGACCGCGTCGGCGTGGTGAACGCCGATCCTTAAGGACTCTGCCCGGCGCATCTCTCCGCCCGCCCCTCGCTTTCAATCCCGACACACCTCGACGCCTTTCAACTCCACCTGACGCCTTTCAACTCCACCCCGACGTTCGCTCGTATGGACGATTACCCTCAGTCGCTCCCCGCGGCGTTGCTTCGGTACAACGGCAGGACGCTCGTGGAAGGGCTGCTGCGCGACCTCACCGCGAGGGAGTGGCTGTATTACAAGGTGCACGGCGGCGAGCGACACGTCACGCCGGTGGCGGTGATGACGTCGGCGGCGAAGGGCAACCACCGACGCATAGAGCAGCTCATCCGAGACAACGACTGGTTCGGGCGCGGCGAGACCGGGTTCAGGCGCGTTCTATACACTGGTTCCCACACGACCGCGTTCGCGTGGTGAACGCCGATCCTTAAGGACTTTATTTCCCGGCGCATCTCTCCGCCCACCCCTCGGTTTCAATCCCGACACACCTCGACGCCTTTCAACTCCGCTTCTGACGCCTATGAACTCCACCCCGACATCGCTTTGTATGGAATCGCCCTCAGGCTGTTCGAACAGCCGCTCGTGCCCGTGGTGACGACGAAGGGCGGCGAGTGGGTTCCGCTCGAGGGCCAGGCGGCGTTCGCGATCTCGCTCAAGCCCGGCGGCCACGGCGCGATTTGGAAGCTGATGCACGACCAGGGCGTCTTCACGTGGCTCGGCGCCAAGGGAAGGAAGGGCGCGGTGGTGCGGCAGATCACGAACCCGATGGCGGGCACGGACACCACGCTCCTCGCGCTGTCCGGCGTGGGAAGGAGAGGCGACAAGGCGTTGGGCTTCGCGTCGTGCGAGCGGCATTTGGGCGCGAGCGAAGGCGTCAACGTGCTCGTGGAGCGCGTCAACGAAGACGACGACGACGACGACGCCTCGCGCAGCTACAGCTACGGGATATCCAACGTGGAGTACACGGTGTTGCAGCAGCGGGGGATATCGGACGAGCCCGTGGCGCCCGGCAGCAGCGAGAGCGCGTACCCGGCGAACACGAACGTGCTGTACATCGGGTTGGAGAAGATTCGCGACGCGTTGCGTTCCTCGCCGCGCGGCGCGTTTCCGGGACTCCTCGTCAACTTGTCGAAGCCCGCGCATCCGAACGGGTGCAAGGGGGGGCGACTGGAGACGTCCATGCAGAACATCGCGGACGCGCTGATGCACACGACAACGCCCGGCGACGGACCGTTACCTATGGACCAGTGGGAAAACCTCCCGACGTTTGTGCTGTACACGCTGCGGCGGCGAATCACGAGCAGCGCGAAGAAGAAGCGCGACCCGGCTAATCCGAACCTCGCGCAGACGCCGGAGGGGTCGTTTCTCGACCTCCTCAAAAACGCGTCGGACCTTCTCGCGCGGTGCGACGTCGCGCATCCGGACCCGGACGCGATGGACGTGGCGGCGTACTTGGAGGACGGCCCGAGCTTCATCTTCTCCGCGAACCCGGCGATCGGCCCGCTGTGGGACGTGACGTCGCAGAAGATTCGCGGCGGCGCGCTTCGCGAACGCGCGGAGGTGCGTCTGGAGATTGCGGAGATCGAGTGGAAAGACGTCGACGTGGACGGGAGCTTGCTGATCACCGCGGACGCGCCGTTCGGCGAGGAGAAAGTCGACGACGACGCCGGAGCCGCGCGCGGTAAACCGACGTCGTTCGACGACGACGCGTGCGGGCGATGCCGGCTGCGCGGCGTCGCGGTTCGCAACGCGGGCGTGGACTGGTCCGCTCCGGACGACGAGGCGTGGAGCGCGACGCTGACGCGATCCGAGTCGTGCGTCGTGCGCCTGCGCGGGAACGCGGAGTTCGACGCGAGGGACGTGACGCTGTCCGGGGACGTGATGTACGACGTCCCCGCGGGCTGGCGCCTATCTCTGCGCCCCGACACTGATGAGAGAGGCGGCGAGAGCCTCGGCGCGGTGCGGGAGGAGTGGACGGATCTTAGCGCCGCCGGCGGAGGGCCGACGTGGCGATGGGCGTACGACGTCAGCGACGGCGGGAGGGTGGGGCTGCGTTTGGAGGAGAGACTCGACGTGGGGTCGCACGGGGACAGCCGCGAGGCGGCTGAAGCGGCGGTGGGGAAGAGCAGGAAGAGTAGGAAGAGTATGGAGGAAGCACAGGACGGGGAACTGCGCGGGAACTCGGCGGTGTCGAGAGGGGGGGAAAGCGGCGGGGGCGGCGCCGCGCCGAGGAAGAGCAAAGGCGGCGCCACCCCGGAGAAGAGACGCGCCCCCGCGAGATGATAGACTTCGAAACGAACGAACGACTACACTTATTACAGAGTTACTCCGCTATTGAACGCATCCGCCACTCACAGCGCGAGGATCGCGCGCAGGCTCTTCGCCGCGTCCTCTACGGCGGCGGCGACGGCGGCGTTATTTTCTGGGCTGCCGCTCTCCTTCTCCTTCCCTCGCTCGTCCTCCGCTTCGACGCGGCTTCGATCGATGTCGCGTCGTCGCAGCGAGTCGATCTCCCAACGCATGCCGCTCATCGCGTGCGCCATGTACGTCACGACGCTCGCGAGCCGCGCGACGTCGTCGCGTAACGCCACGACCTCGTCCGTTACCTTCGGCGGCGGCGGCGGCGGCGGCGGCGCCGGCGGAGACGTCTTCGCTCTTTTTTTTGCGTCGTCGGCGTCGTCGGCGTCGCTCGGACGCTCGCGTCGCTCCACCGCGACGTACGCCGCGGTGCCGTCGTTCGAGCCCCCGGACATCGCGCTGTTGTCGACGCCGTCGAGCGCGCCGAGCTCGTCGGAGCACGCCGCCGCGAGCGCGCGCAGCTGTCCACCGGCGGCGGCGGCGGCGGCGGCGCGGTTTTTTCGCGTTTTCGCGCGCGCGGCGGTTCTATTTCTGTCCTTCTCGACGACGCCCTCGCGCGCGTCGTCCTCGCCGCGCTCGCGCGCCTCCGCGTCCGCGCGCGCGGGGTGCGCGTATCGGTCCAAGTCGAGGTACTCCACGTCGCCGTCGCGCTCCATGGCTGCCAAGTCGAGCGGCGACGCGACGTACGGCACCGCGAGGCCGCATCGCTCCGTCGCGTCGAAGTGCGCCATCGCCTCCTCCTTCGTCGTGAAGTCTTGCTCCTCGCCGAGGCACACGTAATACCGCCCCGTCGCGCGCTCGTACGACGCGCGCGAAACGCCGCCGTTCCCGTTCCCGTTCGCGTTTCTCCTCCCGGCGAATCGCGTTGTCGTCTCCGTCGCGTGCTCGGTCGTGACGCCTCGGAGCCATCGCGCGTTTTGCGCGCACAGCGGCAGCGGCGGGACCGTCGGCGCCGTCGACGGCACGCGCACGCGGAGGATCCGCCCCAGTCTCGCGTCCGCGGCGCAGTCGTACGCGTCGCGCGGGCGCTTGCCTCCTCGCCGGGTGGTCGCGTCGTGCGCGATGAGGGACGTCGGCATGGGTGATGATGGCGCGCGCGCGTCGATTGGAGTGCGCCGTCTCTCCGCGCGGGGTCGTCGTTCGCATCGTTGAGGCGACAATGGGAGACGAAGAGACGGCGGCCACTGACGGACGCGAAACGCCGCGCGCGCCGCGCCAATAGCGCCACCTGCAAGATCCGAAATCCGCCCCTACTACGGGGCCCACTTCGTCTGGCGCCTCGCGTGAAGCGCAGTCGCACAGTCGAACGCGAACATGGGCGTCGCCGTCCCCGAACTCAAGCAGTGCGTCCCCGCTCGCGGCGCCCCCCCCCCCCCGCGCGCGCGCGCGTTCGCGCCTCCGATCTCGCCCGCGATCGTTCGTCGCGTCGTCGCGTCGTTCGATTTCATGTCGTTTAGGGTTCAAAACTCGCTCGCCGCCCGCCCACCGACGCGCCCGCTGATCCCTCCCTCGATCCCTCAGGGACATGGACAAGAAGCTTCGGCTGAAGCTCAACGGCAACCGCGGCGTCCTCGGCGTCCTCCGCGGGTTCGACCAGTTCTTGAACCTCGTCCTGGACGAGTGCGTGGACGACAGCACCTCGGACAAGGAGCCGCTCGGGATGGTCGTCGTCAGAGGGAACTCGATCAGCGCCCTGGAGGCGCTCGAGCACATCCCCGCGGCCGTGAGGAAAACCCAATGAGCGGCGAGCGGCGCGTCCGGTAACGGGGGAGGGGACGTCATAGCGGGACTGGAGAGATCTTAACGGAGGACGGGGGGACGATCGATCGCTTGCGATGCTCAGATCGATAATTATTTAGCGCTACAAAACACATCGAATCGAATCGTTGGAGACCCGCCGCGACGGCGGGCGTCCGACGCGACGATCGATCGATCACTTCTTCCCCTTCTTCCCCTTCTTCTCCGGGGGGGGCGGCGTCTTCGGCGTCGTCGCCTCCGCGCCGTACTTCTCCCTCACCGAGCTGTGATTCAGCCGC